CCCCCATCCCGTCCTCATTTCACCCTGAGGGTGCGGGTGCATAAGGAGCCAGAGAATTACTACCACTCAGTGTTGAGGAGCTATTCCAAGTGCTTCATCTTGCACTCAGACACAGCCTCCACTCAATTTGCCTTCCCTGCTAGGCACCACACCAGGGCTGGCGGGATCAAGGACTGGACAATAAAGCTAATTCCAGTTGAATGGAGCCACACTGAGCGACTGCAATGTCTGCTAGGAAACGCTAGAGGGAGTTTAGGAAAGGAGTCAGATGAGAGCGGGCTAGGGGAGAGGCAAGATAATGGTGGGTTATTTCTCCCATTTTGCGAGTTAACCTAACGTCTCCAGTACAATCTGCCCTCAAAATATGATGGTAAGAGGCTACTGCCTGTGGCATAAAGGGCTCAGCAAGAAGCCTGTTAAATCCAGATTATTTGTGCGAGCGTGAGAATGAAATGCAGCCTGCTTGACCATAAATAGATCTCTCCCCCCCTTTGCTTTGTAGTCTAGCCTAGAATACCTTTTTTCTCCCACATTTTTCATTCTTGGCTGGCTCAGAGGTGCAGCCGCCAGCTGTTTGCTAGGATCACCCTTTTCCCTTGCTCCCTCCCCTCCAAATTCTTCAGGACATTATTCTCTTGAAGCTTTGGCTCGCAATAAGAATTTAATCAAACAAAACAAAATCACAGCAACCCGCCGCTTCTTGGACAGTGTTTGATGTGTAAATATGTAAAGAAGGAACATTCTGGAAAGGCGATCGGCTACCTCCTGGAGACTCGAGAGTCCTACCCTGAGCCAATGAGACCCGGCAAGGGGTGGGTGTGCTCCTGGGAGATTAAATTCCATCTGCCTCCAGGGGTGGTGGGAAAATGGGTGGCCAGTGGCATAGGCTAAGGAGGGAGTCACCTCTTAAAGGGGCATTTCTTGAATGATAGTGGGACCCTATTGGTCATTCATCAACAGGCCAGTCAACAATTGCTTGTTTTCGGGTGTGGAGTTTCTGCCTGCAGTCAGCCTGGTTCCCATCAAAGTCTGTCCTGGGTAGTTAGACATAGTGGGAGCTACAAGGCACACTCTGCTTGTGCCAGTTTGTGGCGAGCTGACGCCTGGCTTGTAGCTCAGCTTCTCTCTTGCCAGTTGTGGATTCTATGGCCACGTCCGGCTCAGGGGAAAACAGCTGGTGATGTTGTACTTGGTACTATTGTGCACCTCTCTCTGTGTGCACTTTATGCCCTAACTATTCTGATTGCTGCAGTATAAGTGTAAAGACCACACCTCCAAAGACAGCCTGCAGGAAAAGGTACGCATTCTTCCCACTGAGACGGTACAAAATCAGCACCCAGCATGACGCTGCATTGCTGAAGATGCCAGCTTTCAGAGGGGACGTAAAACTGAGGCCCCGATCATTGCGTTCACTACAAATCCAGAGAGATTTCTGATGAAGAGTGTGTTAATCCCTGTGTTCAAATTCCAGCTCTAGTAATGACATTCTGCCTGCAGTTCCAATTGGAGAAGTTAATCTCTGTTCCCTAAACATTGTCATTTCCAGCTCAGAGGCAGCTGTGAGTCCATCCTGGGCCAGGGGATCCATTCCCTGTATAAAGTGCCATAGAGTTTTTTGACATCCTACTGGATGGAAGGCCCAACATATAAATATCTACTGAAACTCTCAGCAAGTTATCCCTATTTAGAAGGTAGTGAACTTATAATTTGATGCTGATGCTAATGATTAGTGATAAGGAGTCAGGTGATTTATTTAGGCATTTAAAACACTGCTTAGTAAAGATTCAAGCTATCAAAACCCCCACATTTAATTTTTTTGGCGAATGAGTTGCAAATGCCCAGGCCTGACAATGGAATGGACCCTACACTCTAACTGAAAATGAGAGTCAGGTTATAATTCAAGATCAAAATGTTCTTTTTTGATCTACATGTACCCATGTAAGGTTGGCCAAAAGAATCTTCCCCCTTAATTCAAGACATGAGCTAAAGTGTGCTGTGTACGTTCATGAGGCCACGAGTCCTAGACAGTGGGGACTGGCAAAGGCAGGGATGAGTTGATGGGAGTTTTGTGTAAATCATATCCATGGCAAGGCTAGTTTCCTCACTACTTGCAGCTGCCATATTCAGAACAATTGTGCTCTTTGCCAGATACTTCTCTGTGAACATTCTTCATCTCTGGGATGATCTTTTGTTACCAAAAAAGAAACACCTGCTGTTTTTTCCCCTTGCCTGTACATGAAACATCAGTCTGCACTTTACCAATCAGCAATATTCCTGGAGCTTTTGGACTTGCTGTATCACGATTAATGGCATTTTTTCACTGCAATAATTATTCCTGATTAATGCCTTCTGTTGTGTTGATCTCTGACAAAGGCTAACAATGCACATAAGGCTCTGTGTGTGTGAGAGTGTGTGTGTATACAGTGTACTTGTGCATAACATACAAAGATGAAAATATGTGTAAAACAGCTAATAGCCATAGATGGCTGAATCCTGCAATAACATCTTTTCCTTGGCTACCCATGAGCAGTTCTGCACACAGACTTTTGTTTGTATAAATGTTGGGGGAATGACTGTTCTTCATCTGAACACCCTTTTCCTCATGCAAGCAAGGAGACAGGCATTGACAAGAGTATTCATTATTCATTGTTGTTTATGCAATCTTTTCCAGTTTAAAATGTATCATCCAGCCAGGCAGGAGAAACCATACCATGTGACCAAGATGACCAGTCATACATGAAGAGTAACCAACGTAGCACACACTCAGAATGAACATTGCAAGAATAACTGCTAAGCTGAAAATGATCCATTCACAAACAGAACGGCAGCAACTGGGATCAGCTCACGAACGATGTGCTCCAAAGAACCGTTCAGTAGAGGAAGAATAAAAATCACAGAAATCAGACTGGAAAAGACCTACCAAGACATCTAGTTCATCCCTTTGCTAGTGCAGGATTGTTCTCTACCATATATATTTTAGTGAAGGATTGGAATAGAGTAGGCTACATATTTTTGGGGACCAAGACTTATGGTGAAATCCTGGCCCACTGAATACAATGGGAGTTTTGCCATTGACATCAATAGGGTCAGGATTTTATCCTTAGTGTCTCTTTATTCCTTTCCCTACTTATCAGGCAATACTCCTGTGTGAAGGGTGAAATAAGAAATGCACAATGGCTGGAAGTCGTGGGGCGTAGCAGCGCACATGCCACACAATAGTGGAATATTTTTTGGCGTAGAGAGAATAAAGGGAAGGGGGAAAAGCATTCACTATTGAAAAGAGAACGAACCAGCATCAGTAACTTTTTCTTTGTTACAGCCTGACTGAAACTCAGGAAGCACAAAAGAAAGCCAAGCTAACTTTCACTGAACTCCTATTCTCCTTCGTGATTCAGTCTCTCTCTTCCACCAAGCTAAATGGCATAGAAGTGAGGTGGCAAGGCAGTGGATGCACAATGGGATAACATGGCCCCTTTTTCCACCTCCCAAGAGATGGAGATTAATAAATGTCATTCATGTATCTATCTCTCCATCTGTCTCAAAACCCCCGTCAATGCACATAGCTTGCTTCCGCTTTCCCGGGACTCTCTTGAAAATGAATTTCTAGAGAAGGATGATTAATAGACATCTGAGACATAGGAGCTCAGCTAGTTCCTCTGCTCCCACCAATGTGGGCCTTTTCCTCTCCTTACAGGCTGTTCTTCACTGCTTTCTCTAGGCTAGTTTGCAATATACCAAGGGATGGAGCTTCTGGTACTTCTCTTGGGGAAACTAGTCCCCAGTCTAATAGAGTTCACTTTTTAGGAATTTCCCGCCCCCCAATAGTAAGCCAAAATTTTCCTTTGTTCACTTTCAAACTATTGGTTTTCTCCACACAGTGCCACAGTAGTGATCACAGAGAGAGGGAAAATATCGTAAGCTCTCCGTGCCTTAGGTGTAATGGTGCATTGGCAACTTGACACATCTTACTTGTCACCTCGCCATTCTGGCATGTGTGTTAATTGCGTTAAGCATAGATAGTCATGGAGTGACATGGAGCATGTCTTGAGTGTGTCCAGTACAGGGTGACCATCTATGGCCAGACAATCTGCAATGTGAATTCTCTGTAGGGTGAAGATCCACAACCAAAGATGCTGGTATATGGTGACCATCCATTACCAGATACTCTGAGATGTGTGTTACATAGTAGCCTGTGATGCAGATGCAAGATACATTTTAATACAAGATGACCAGGCACTGTGGATTATTTGTTAAATATGCATTTTTCTAATGACCAGAACAATCTGGAATGTCAGGCCCAGTTCTAAAAGTGCACCCCACTGTCTTAGGGCAATGTGGACTGGAACCTATCGGCATTCCCTTTTATATTGAATTGGTTCTTGAATGAACTGCCGCTGTCCATGCATGCACTGGTCAGTACCTCATAACACTATGAAGTTTATGCAGGATGTGTTCTCCACTCCCACATACTTCAAGGTAATCCCTGGGAAAACCCTTCAGGAGCACACAATCATCTTTAGAGAGGACCTACAGACCTGGAATTCAATATTGCTTTTGCAACAGGGCAACCCTCACCTTCCCACCTCTGAGGAACTCTCATCAGCCCTTATCCAGCAGTACTGCCTTGCCCCAGTCTGAACTCTGAAAAACCTGGGCAGCCTATGTTATAGAATCATAGAATATCAGGGTTGGAAGGGACATCAGGAGGTCATCTAGTCCAACCCCCTGCTCAAAGCAGGGGCAATCCCTAGACAGATTTTTGCCCCAGATCCCAAAATGGCCCCCTCAAGGATTGAACTCACAACCCTGGGTTTAGCAGGCCAATGCTCAAACCACTGAGCTATCCCTCCTCCATGCTCTATGAGTCTGACATCATATCAATTAAACAGAGAGAAATGTCAAAGGCTGCTCAATGTTCCCGCTTGGCCTGGTGAGCAAAATGGCATCGTAAGTGAAATGAGAGAGAGCAACAGAATTATTTGGAAACATCGGGTGCTTACCTGTCACTACCAGCTGGATGGTGAGGTTCTCATACAGGCCATGTTTAGTGTTGCTCAGGACTATGGTGTAGTTCCCAGCATGCTTTGGTCTCAAATCCCTTATGCCCAGCTTGTACTTCGTTCGATCTGGTACATAGCAAGTGTGGTTCTCCTTGATTAGCTTGCCATCTTTATACCTGTTTTGAAGAGCGAGGGAAGTTCAAACAAAGACTGTCAGCACTGCATGCAGGCAAGCCCTAGTACATAGAAGAGGGGCTGGCCATTATCCAAATTCAGATTTAACTAGGTAAATTGTTATTGCTGTCCTATGGGAATATCTGTAGGGAATCCCAATCCACCATCAGTGCTTGAATTGAAAAAACAACAACCTTACATGCATTCCCCTTACCCATCCTCGCCAAATTGATGGGAATACATTGGCTTCTTTTTTCCCCATATTTTAGCCAGCAGCAGTGAAAAGAGACAATCAGAAAGTTGCCCATTCTAGGACTCTCTGTGATTTAAGTAACTGGCCTCTGTATTGAGAGCACCACTTGAACATACAAACCCTGGGTCACATACTCAAAAGTGTGTGTCCAACATTGCACAAGTGAGTTTCTAGGTGCTTTAAACTGAGATGGACACATGCCAACAACATCTGCATTTGCAAATTGGGCAGGGCCGCCCAGAGGATTCAGGGGGCCTGGGGTCTTCAGTGGCGGGGGCCCCCCGCCGCCGAATTGCCGCCAAAGACCCGGCACTTCGGCGGTGGGTCCCGGGGCGGAAGGACCCCCCGCTGCGGGTCTTCGGGGCACTTCGGCGGCGGATCCCAGAGCGGAAGGACCCCCCGCCGTGGGTCTTCGGGGCACTTCGGCGGCGGATCCCAGAGCGGAAGGACCCCCCCCGCCGCCGAATTGCCGCCGAAGACCCAGAGCGGAAGAAGCTCCGGGGGCTCAGGCCCCCCGAGAGTTTTCCAGGGCCCCCGGAGCAAGTGAAGGACCCCACTCCAGGGGCCCCGAAAAACTCTCGTGGGGGCCCCTGCGGTAAATTGCCCCACTTGCCCCCCCCCGGGCGGCCCTGAAATTGGGTAGACAACTAACCATCTGATGAGCATAACAAATATGCAGTGCAAGTGTTGCAATGTGCACAGCAAATTGTGGATTTGCAAAAACTTGGGCCACCAGTTTTGGAGTAAGCAAATTAAGGGAACAGATTATAATTAACTGTTATTACTGCAATGGGTGTGCATGGCCCTTTACAGCACTGGAAACAGCCAAAGTCTGTGCCCCAAGAGCTTATAATCAATTTAAAGGTGACTGAGGCCACTTTGAAAATTTGGCTGTATACATGCAGGGGACGCGTTTTTATTCTATTTGGATAAATATTCTGAAAATCTCTGTTTCCTCCCAGGGAGTATTTGTGATCTTGAACCTTCATCAACAAAGAGTGGGGTAGAAGAATCTGAATAAGGTTCCTCTAGTTCATAGATAAAACCACCTGCAAGTAGAGGTGATGTTGTTTGGATGCTTTTGGACTTCAAATATTTGATGGGCAAGACACTACAACCCACAGGTCAGGCTGATGAACTTCTCAGGGACTCCAGCTGGAGAAATGTGATTGTGTTCAGTCTGAGAGTTTTGAAAGTCTCCTGGACAGTAATTTAAACAACTGCACTAACGAGGACTCCAACATCAACATCTCACTGCTGCAGCATAGAACACACAGGGCAGACAATGTTGGTGGTCTTAGACTACTCCCAAATATGGAAATTTCCTTTCTCAACCTCTGCATGAAGTATGACCATTGCTGTAGAAAGAAAAGGGAAAAGTCCCCACTTCATCCCATAAAATATCCCCAGCTCTTTAAAAAACACCCCCAGCAACAGCTGGCTAATTTCTCTTATGATTTGAATTGAACCTCATGGAATTTCATACAATTTTACTATTTAAAAACAAAACAAAACCCCAAACCGTACCTACTCCCCCTGCTCTCTGCCAATCCTGCCACTGAGTCACTTGGACTCAGCACTTCTTGTTGGCCCACGAAAAGTGCATTGTGGAGGTGCCAACTCACCACAGCATCATGGCAAGGTACGCTGAGCATGGCAGAGGGCTTTCACAGATCTGAGCATGCTTTTGAGCAGCTGTCTGGTTTCTAGGCAATGGATTAGGGGTAGAATGCTGGTGGTCTTGGCCAACATTTCCCCTCACCATAAAAAGAGGCAGAAAGGAAGGGGAGGGAGAGGGGAGAAAGAAGTCAAAGGGGAGATGATGGAAGTTAGTGCTTCCTATGGTTGTTGAAGTGCTGCATCTTGTATTAAATGGTGATGTGTCATAGTCACACTGGAGTAGCCTTTGATTGGCCCACAGGATTTTGCGATGATTCCCCTTTGTTTGCTGTGTGTGTGTGTGTGTGAGATGGATGCCACATTCTTGGCGTTGATGGATTGAGGGGAGACATGGTGGAGTTCTGTGGATCCATCAGATGATGTTGCTTGAGCCACTTAATTGAATACATAGGGGGAACAAAGGCCATAATTAAGTTCACCTATTGCAGCAGTGGCCATGAAGGACTTTCCTGCATTGACAGAAGAAGGTCTAATAGGACTTTTGCCTTTCCAGCGTCTATGATTTCATGAAGCATTCTAGAAACATTTGAGCTCTATTCTATTTTGGGATGATTCTGCGGATGTATCAGTATTTCCTGCATGCCCCTTGCTTCGTTTTATTTTATTTTTTTTATTACTGCCTAAAAAACAGGATCTTCAGAAATCATCTGGTCCTGACTCCCCACCTGCAACCAAAGTCCTAACTCTGTGCAGCTGGCAGCTGCAGAAAGTATTCCCACATGGATTAGGACTTCAGGTGGGGAAGCAGTGGCAGGAGCAGATAAACATTTCTGTAAAAAGATCCACTTTCAGGAGAATGTCCTTAGTCATAAATGAGCGGAGAGAAAAAAACATGAGCTGAAGAGGCAGAGGTTCTCATGCAGAGAATGTTTCTTACAGCTTTCCGGGAGGCACTGGCTCCTTTTAAGCTCAGCTCTGCTAATGGTAACACTGACAACGCTCTCTTGTCCTTTTCTGTCTGTGGTTCTCAGTGTGTTATGGGCACATGACTGAGCGGATCCTTGCGTTTCTGCTGTGGGGTAGGGATGTAACATTCTTCCCAGGCTGTCGGTGCAGAAACTGAGGGGTGAAGTGACTTGCCCAAGATCATATCACACAATGAGTCTGTGGCAGTGCTGATAATAGAACCCAGATTTCATTGTGGGTTGTAGCCCGTGAAAGCTTATGCTCTAATAAATTTGTTAGTCTCTAAGGTGCCACAAGTACTCCTGTTCTTTTTCCAGATTTCATTGTTTGCTAGACCAGCAATTTAGTCACAAGGCCACCCCTCTACATTGTCTGCCATGTCTGAAGAAAGTGGCCGGGATATCTTTTCTTATCCCTTTCAGAAGATCACATTTTCTTGATCCTGCACAAGAGGCTGATACTCACCAGGTAACACTGGGGCGGGGAAAGGCATCCACCTTCACAGCTAGTTTCAGTAACTTGTGTCCTGCTACCCCCTCGTAGTAAGGTCCTTTCTTATAGGAAACTCTCAGGAAAGCTTTGTCTTAAACAAATATTTTAAAAAAGTCATACCATGGAAGATTCTTGTCAGGCTATAAATACCCGCAGCCCTAAATACAATGTGCTCTGGAATGGGTGTCAGCATGGTAGGTCAGGAGAAGCTACAGACAATCAAATGGAATGACAAGCTGCCAGTAAGCTTCAGCCATAGCTGTATCTGTTCTGTACACATGTCCCAGAACTAGAGACAGGCTCTCGCTGCACATTTTGGTTCTAGTGGCAGTGGTGGCCACTTAAAAGATCAACCACCACCAACAGCTGCTACACAGCGGTATCTGACGATAACCCGCTTTTATTTTAACTGGGGCCTCCCTTGACAAAGGTTGATTTTTTCACCTCGAAGGGGGCCAGATTTTCAAGGGCAGAGCACCCACTATGGGGGCCAGACTTTCAGAGGTGCTCAGCACCCAATTTGCTGAGCTCTTTTGAAAATCTGGTCCCAGCTGAGGACGCTGACCCTTTTGAAAATTCTGGCCTACCCAGACACAGAGCCAATGTGACCCATGTGAGATAAGTGACTCATGACTAAATAGATGAATTCCAGTACATCCCATTTCAGAAGTTTACTCTCTTTTCAAAAACATTTAAGAGGATAAAAACAGCTAAACCAGAACAAATTAATGAGTCTCTACTGTCCCATATCCTGTCGCTAACAAAGACCGGTACTGTGTGTTTAAGAAGAAGACATAGCCTTCCTGTAACACTATAATACATTTTGTTGAAAACATTTCTTCTTGACCCCATATCAGTGATGGGCAACCTGCGGCCCATCAGATTAATCCACTGGTGGGCCACTGGACAGTTTGCTTTCATTTGCACAGCCGCTTCCCGCAGCTCCCATTGGCTGGGAATGGCGAACCGCAGCCACTGGGAGCTGCGGGCGGCTGTGCAAATGGAAACAAACTGTCTGGCGGCCCGCCAGCAGATTATTCTGATGGGCTGCTTGCAGCCTGCGGACCTCAGGTTGCCCACCACTGGTTTATGTCCTAAAGCATGAGGAGTGATAGGCCACTCTTGTGACTGTATCCTAGCTGGTGTCATTGCTAATGGACCGCTACATATTAAATGTGTCCATCTCCTTAACAGTCCTGCTTCCCAGACACTATTCTGATTTAGATACGGAACTTACTGTATACTGTGATTGTTTCATTGGCCTTCAGTATCATTACATTGGTCTCCAGTCCTGTTACGTTGACTGCTCTGCATATATACAAGCCACTGTCTTCCATGGTAACGTTGTGGATGGTCAGATTACTGAAGCCTTTATAAACCGACTGACTTTTGTTCAAAATTCGTGTAGGCTTATGATCCTGGGTGACAGAAGAAAGAGAAAAAGAAAAGGGTAAACTTTTTGCTTATTCTGTTTCAAATACCCTTCAATTAAGAGATAAAAACTCCAAAGACCTCAGCTGAAACACTTACACTTTCCCCCCAGAGAGTTGGTTACTAATAATACACAAGAAGACGCACCAGACAGACCTTTTCAGGGAGCTTTTAATGTCCATAGACCTACAAACGAATGAAATCAAGTAGCTCTTCACTAGTACCACGCAAGTGGGTAAATCCGTGAACAGAACTAATCAGGGGTTAAAATCCTGACCCTGTTGAAGTCAATGGCAAAACTCTCATTGACTTCTGTGGGGCCAGGATTTCACCCATGTTATTTTGGGACTCCCAGCTGTAGTGTACATTTAATTCTTGGTCAGTATCAGTCTGTCTGGGGAAGAAAAATTAATACGTTAAATAGTAAAAGATCTATTTAGTAACCACATCCCAATGGAAAAGCCCTATAGAACCTGATACAGAATTGTAAATTTCAATAGAAATTTTGACCCTATAAAATTTAATAGGGATTTGTACACCTCCTACATAGAACCCTAGCGGATGGTTCAAGGAAAGACACTAGAAAGAAGATCAACTTCTATTCCATTCTATAGATTTCAAAGAGAAAATTCTGTAGAACCACACTGGTTTCATCCTGATAAAATTCTATAGGTATTTCCAACCCAGGCTGTAGTTTTTGTTATTTTTCTTTTCTTTTCTTTTAAAAAAAATTTCTTTCACTAGTTTTGCCAAGAAACCTTTTGAGGGGTCCCAAGTCATTAGATAACATGGAACATTCTTGTTTTCTGTGCAAGGCTGCAGAAACCCAGAAATCATCAAATTTAGGGGTTTGCACAGGCCAGAATGGAATATTTTTAAAATTGTATTGAATTGGGACACTGATCTTTGGGCTCTTTCTCCACAAGGAGAACTTTTAGAATTGCTGCTTCTTAGAAATACTTATTTACTCTAATTTTAAGAGCTGTTAGTTTTAGGGCTCAATCCACATGCTGCTGCCAGTGACTTAAATGAGAATGCAGGGCACTCAGCAGCTAGCAAGAGCAGAGATTTAATTAGGGATGAATGAACCAACCCTGAACAAGACTTGATACTGCGTGGGCTCCACCCCTGTGATTCCCAAGAGGGTGCTGAAGGGGCTTAGCACCTTGCAGGAAGTGCTCAGCACTCTGAGGGGTCAAACCCCAAATGACCCCCCTGCCCTACACCCCACTAGCAGAGCCTGAATCCTCACTTAGAACTTGAACCACATTTTTAGTGAGGCTTGAGAAAGGCCATTTCGTTTTTGATTCATTTTTACACAGTGCACAAATGCCTAGATTTATGGATAGCTGGATGGTCAGACAGACAGTCTGCCACATCTGCGGCTGCTCGATTTCCCATTGTCAGTTAGGATCATACGGGGGCCTGAAGTGATGTGGGAAAGGCTATTCTTTCCCCGCAGAACCAAAAATTCCTGGTGATGTTGCAAAAATCCAGTTAGGAGATTTGCAGCCCAATTTTGCCAAACCAAGAGGCTCAGAGAGTTCACATAAGCATCCTGGGTTTTCAGCTCATCCGAACTGAAAAGACAGTCATTTGTGGCTCTCCCATTGCTTGTTTTAAGAATGACAAATGAAAGCAAAATTAGGACTTACTAAACCATAAGAACAGAACTTTCATTTCCATACGGTTCACTACTGTAATCCAACCAGAGACAGCCTTAAATTGTCAGCTACTCACTCTCCCACTAGGATACTGCCATTCAAATTCAATCCGTCCATTGAAAAAGGTCTCTGCGCTGCATTCCAGGTTGAGGGTATCTCCAACTAGCAGCTTTCTGGAGTTTGCTTTCAGAGCCAGGTTCTGTATTCTGCCCTCTGAAATGAAAAGAACAGAGGAGACCCAAATTTCAAATCCTTCCTCAAGATCTTGCTCCTCCTGTGAGGAGTGTAGGAAATTAGCCTGCTAATGACCTCAGTGGGAGCTGCTGGGCACTCAGGCACTTTTGAAAATAAGATCACTTAGGTAGGAACCTTAATCTCATTGGTCTATTGTCTGGGTTATGCAGGAGGCCAGACAGGATGATCGTAGTATGTTCCCTTCTGGAGTTAAACTCTTCTTTACTCCTCCATTTGGGGCTCCAGCTCTTGATCATTGGCCACATAATCACATTGATATCGTCCTTGTCCGTCTTCTCTTACTCCCTGCCTAGGCTGCAATTTTCAAAAGTGACGAGTGCTGCTGGGCGCCTCAGTTTGGGGATAGGAGAAAAGGGCCTGATTTCCACAAAGTGCTGAGCACTCGCCCTCTGAAAACCAGCTTCCCTTCACCCCGGGCACTCCTAAGCCCCTACTCAATTTTGAAAATCTTGGTCCTACTGTCCTATTACCCCCGCAATGCATCATGTCTGATGTTAGCTTGTTAAACTCCTTGGGGTGGGGATCACGTCCTTTTATCTCTGGTGTGAAGTATCTAGCACACAGCAGGCCACTGGCAGAGCGGGGAATAGAACTGCTCAGTCCAGTCTAGTGCACTATCCACTAGGTCAGGGTGCTTCCCTATTAGAGGGACTAGGGGTGGATCCTATATTGGCCCTTAAGAGGTGGGTCCGATGACCTAACAGGCCTTCCCATCTTTGATTCTGTGACATATGTAGCAAATAATTACTCCAAGCACTGAAAAAAGAGCTATCCAGAACCTCCATTTGGCTGCCATACAAATTTCCTTGCCTGTTGTTTTAAGCTAAAGCCAATTGTTGAGAAGGGTACCATGACCTAGTGGAAATGAAGTCACAGCGAACCCTGCCTAGTAAAGTTTAAAATTTATGAGGAGGTGAAGAAAATATACACAAAACAAGGAGCACATTATTAGAAATGGGCTCAAATAAAGCCTCAGTCCCAAACACCTCAGTGTTCAAAATCCAGAGTTGACTTCTGCAGCTGGAGCCCATCTCGAAACACAATGGAGAGCATGTGGTAAAGTGCCAAGAGAAACCAAACAAAAACCATGAGGTTTGCAAATGAGCATTTACATGAGATTTTATATCATGATCTTGTAAGTTCCACAAATACCAGAAATGGGCAGACGAGGCCACTGCTTGGATTTGCATATCCCAAAGCAGTGGTTATTTGAATGTCCAAACCAACAAAGCTTTGGTGGGATTTGAGGAAAATATTCCAGTTCTGTCCCATCTCTACACTGGGCAATTTTTCAAAACCAGGGGTGGATCAGATCCAAGTACTATTTGATCTGAACCACCAAAGCTCAAGGGGGAAGGTGGGTGTACAGCAAATGTTCCAGTTTTGACTCATCTCTAATACATACCAGCTATAAACCCCAAGAGTTAGCTTGGAACTAGGCTAACCACGAAATAATAACCACAAGCTTAGCTAAGCACTAGAATTGTTTCTGTTCCATTGAGTAGCAGTTACTGCTCAGCACGGAGGGGTCACTCACCCACTTTCTGTAGTATATAGTAGGATGAGGACTCAATTCCGTTTACTTTGGTTGTACACATGAGTATGCCTTTGAAGAAGTGGAAAGGAGGAGAGGGGATGACAAATCCTCTCCTGGGGTCCCACACCATCCTCCAGTAGCCGAACTCTGAAGAAGAAGAAGGAAGCTGAAAAAGAAGAGGCAGATGGAGACGGCTGAGATTTTCCCCTTGCTTACACAGCAGAGAGAAAGGTAGCCATATCTCTTCTTGGTTGGAGACAAGATACATACATAACCCATTCAGAATCAATGGTGCAATCTCAAGAGGTACAAACAAGCAAGCCCCTAAGGCGGGAATGATAGCCTTGTATTTAAGGAGCAGAGCTGGATTCTATTCCGGGCTCCTACAGACTTTGTGTGACGTTGGGCAAATAACAGGTTAATCTGTCAGAGCCTCACTTTCCCCAACTGTTTAATGAGGATAATAATACCAAACTTGTAGGGAGACTTGGGGTTACATTTTCTAAAGTGATTCAGGCACTGTGAAAAAGGACCGAGGAGATGAGATTGCCTACAATGGCATGTGGCCCATCTGTGACTGATAATAGCAATGGCTGGAGATGGGGCACTAGATGGGGAGGGCTCTGAGTTACTACAGAGAATTCGTTTCCAGGTGTCCGACTGGTGGGTCTTGCCCACATGCTCAGCGTTCAACTGATCGCCGTATTTAGGGTTGGGAAGGATTTCCCCCCAGGTCAGATTGGCAGAGACCTGAAGGTTTTCACTTTCCTCTGCAGCATGGGACACAGGGCACTTGCTGGTTTAAACTAGAATAAATGGTGGATTCTCTGTAAATTGAAGTCTTCGGGTCACTATTTGAGGACTTCAGTAACTCAGCCAGAGGTTAGGGGTCTGTGACAGGAGTGGGTGAGTGAGGTTCTGTGGCCTGCAAGGTGCAGGAGGTCAGACTAGATGATCATGATGGTCCCTTCTGGCCTTAGAATGTAAGAAAATATTAATTAAAAATAAAGAAAATCTAATGAATACTGTACACAAATACAGTATATGTACTATGTATGTTGATTTTGTATGCTGTACAGCATCCATTTAAGCCAGACTAGCCATGTTTAGTTGGGGGATGATTGGTATTTTATTGATAACATGCAGTACAGACTTCCCATTAACTAAAAAATCTTGTGATTTTTTAAAAATCAACCTTGAAAAATTCTGGATTTAAATTGTAGAAAAAAATTAGGTATGGGAAATCAAAGACTAATGGTGAGGGGGGTGGGTGGGTGGAATGACTGCTACTCACTGAGGTTCACCCCTCCATGCCCATTTTACAGCTGGGCAAATGGAGGCACGGGATGGCTAAAGGAGTTGTTCAATATCGCACTGTGAGTCTCTGACAGAACCAGGAATAGACACCAGGAGTCCAGACCCCCAATCTCCAGCTCTAGCCACCGGACCACATATTAAATGCTAAATCCCATCTCCACCTTTGAGAGCAGAGGCTGTTCAGAAGCGGTGGCTGGGAAGGAAGTAACTCTAGATGACAATATAACACAGGCTTGGGCTGACCACAGAGCACCCGCGGTTGCCACGTAATAACTAACAGTGTGCCTACCCCCCAGAGAAAAGAAAGGTGCTAGTGTTTATAATGTGCCTTTCAAATCTAAATCAAAAGGAGAGTTTCACCAAGGAAGTTTTGGATTTTCATGAGCCAGCACAACAAGTGGGAACATCGCTCGTGACATAACTAGTCCTTCTATTGTTCTCATGACTGTGCTGCACTTGGTTTAATTTTCTGTACCTAACAAGGAATGATTTGGGGTGGTGTGAATGACAGGTTCAATTTAAATAGTGTTTGGGAGAAATGAGCCTGCTTGGAATGAATTCCAGCTCTGAACGTTGGGAGCTGTTACTCATAATATTGGAGGTGAAATTATGACACTGATTGGCCGGACATCACGTTAGTTCACTTACTTTTCATATTCACCATGGAGCGGAACAAAGTCAAATGAGTCGTTACTGCATGGTAGCAATTAGGAGGCGGAGGTGAGATAAAACAGGTTGTCCTTTGTAGAACAAGAGCCCTAGGAATTATGGATTTCAGATCTGGATCTGAACTTCCTTAAAGTGGTTTAAGATTTGCTGTATGGATTCAGGATTTTTATACGGCTAGAACTAAGACTTGAAGTTTGGATTAGCTCTTGACTTCCACAGAGGTCAGCGGTTCAGATCTTGTTCAAATCCCGTCTAGATATATAGAGATGATTCGTTGCGCAGTGGCCTTCTGAGTATGCAGGCCCATCTGACAAATAGCATTCTCAAAAGTAGCACTTAATTGATACCTTTCTTGGCAGTTTCAACAAAGAGGCCAATGACTGAGATGGGCTATGGAGGCTGGAATTGCCCTCTGAGGGTTTCCTCCAAGTCAGTAATGAGGCACATGGGCAGAGCAGTATGTGGCAAAAAAAAGCGCCACTGCTTGTGTGGTACCCGTTCAGTGGATAAATAGATCTTTCAGAGCTGTCAACTCTTTCTCCCAGCATTAAATACACGTTAGAAGCTTAAATTGCAAGTCCAGCCCTGGGATTCTTGTGACTCAGATGATATGTGGTTAGCTAGGATCTGTTTAGTATTAGCAAACTGCACCCATTCTCATAAATATTTAAAGGAGCGAGAGTGCAATCATTTTAAAGTATAATGGTAATCTAAGGAATTTAATTGATGATGGAAAAAGTACATTTGCTACAAGAATAATAAAGTGTAAGAAAGCTGAATTTCATGGTTTGAGGGCTATGTATCCTTGATGGTTAGAAGAAGAGAAGAAAAAAATAACCCCACTGAAGAGGCGCCTTACAGCAGTGCACATATATTACATTTCTTCATAAAATATATATTTATACAACAAATAAAAGAAAAAAAGGAGCTGACCCCACATTAAGGTTCCGTTCAGTATTTTTCCTCTGTATTGCCTATCGGAGATTAATTCTGGGAAAGGATGTTCTAAATTTGTCTGGTCACTTTATTCCCCTTGCCCTCCAAGCTTCCTCTTTACACAGGAAGCAGCCACTGTGGCTCCACACAGCAGCAGGAATTTCCCAAGCAAGGGAAAACAAGGAGCGGGGTTTCCATATAAGGAAGTTTGGGATGGCATGAGAGACTCCCTAGGTAAACACACACCTATACAAGTGGGTGCATCCTCTCTGACGGCGACGTCTCCCTCACCCACAGCCACCTTCCTTTTGGGCTATAAATTCCACTCCCACGCCCATCCGCCCGTTAAAGCAGAAAAATCCTTGGCTTGGATTCCTTTGCAGTTCACTAGGGAAATGTGCTGAGATTTCATCTCGTCTCCGTCACCAAATGGGTATCATCAGCTTGTAGCAAAATGAAGGACATTTGCATCTGTACTGAGAAATTGCTGGTGGAGAGACTGACTCAACACCAGGTGGAGAAAGGATAATACAATACCTTGTAAACAGGGGGATAATCCTTAAAACCCAAGGACTTCAGGGATTGGTCCAAGCTTTTAGGGCCATGTTCATCCCTGGGGTAAGTCCAGTGAAGTCAGCAGAGATACTCCAGGGACAAATTTGGCCCTCTAATGGTTTAATAAGAGGGGACTTTCTCAGTGCCCCTACTAAGGATGAGGGGAAGGTAAGGGCGAGCACTGATTATTCCAGCCAGGGGAAGGAGTGGGGTTCTGAAAGTGGAGAAGGAGGAGATGCACTCAACCCCGCTCCCCCTCACTTTATCTCCTGCCCATTATACATAAAAAGAGAGATTGGATAATGTAATAAGGCCCAGCGCTGTTCTCAGTGACGTCAGTTGGAGTTTGGCCACTGGCTTCAATGGAAGCAGGGGCTGCATCTCAGGCAATCATTTCAGGTGCTGGTTGCTTCCTGGGAGGGGGAGACATACTGCAGTCAAGAGGAGGGGAGGGCGTTCAGCACCTCCCAGGAGGGACACACTGTGTCACAGGATTAAGCCCTACATTTATATGTTCGGCTTGTAAAAAAAATGCAGTTAATGCAGCAAAAAGATTTTAGCTGCACTTTCCCTGGAGATTAGGCATTTGCACCACCAAACCCACCAGCCCAGTTGGTAGCTACTGGCCCCCATGTCAGCACTTCCAGTAGAAAGGCAGAAGATTGCATTTTCAGGGAGAATTAGCTCCTTTCCTATGCCAAAAGGAGGACTCTCCAGAACAGGCTGAGGCAGATTGGCAAGGGCAGAGTGAAGGAAATGGCATTGCCACTTCTCACTCTGTGTCTCTTCAGGGGATGGTAGGACAGTTTCCATCTTCAGTCCAACATGCAAATAGAAAGAAGCATAATCTAGTATTTAGAGCACAAGGTTGGGAGCCAGGAGACCGGTGCTCTATTCCTGGCTCTGCCTCTCCATGGGCTTCAGCTAACACTTACTGAAGTCAATGAAGACACCCTGATTGAGTTCAGTGGGCGAGAATCAGGCTCTATGGCTTTAATCCTTTCATTGCCCTCTCTAATAGGCAAAACTGGCTCTGGGCTCTTTGGACCAAATGCAGTCCTGGCATAAGCAGGTACAAACTCTAGTGAGGGCAGTGGAAGCTGCGCCAATTTACACCTGAGCTTGGCGCTTTGCTGCAAAATGTGAAATAGAACAGACAGGGGTAAGAGTGCTGAGCAGGTACCAGGCTACAAAACTGGCTAGCTTTCCATCTGAAAGACAGAGCCAAATTCATCACAGAATATTTCATTTTCCAGAAGTCTGAGCATCTTGCCCTCTGTCTTTGCCAACATATTCAGAAACATCAAGAAATAAGTTGGGGGAAATAATTTGCATAAACTCCATCTAACACTAACAAAGGCCACATGTGGGGGTCAGTGATAAAGCACCGTGAAGAATTTAGAAGGATTAAGGTGGATTTTGGAGGCCTTTGCCATTCTTCTAGTCCCACCAGCTTTGCTCTAAAGCTTACTCATCGTCACAAGCTCTTTTTTATAGTTGTTTACCCGGCTTTGACTCTCCAGATCTCTAAGGGGTTGGGTTAATCTGAAATTTCCACTTACCTGTCTAAGCTTGGGTTTGATATCTGGTGAGGTGACCCGGCAGGGTATGACAACCACTTCGGTAGTATTCAATACATATATCACTTTGGGATATTGAGGGTGAATCTGAACAAATGGATTCTGGTGGTCTGCAGGAGACAGAACAGAACGGTATTGGTTTGCAAAATTGTCCCTTGGTATGGTTGGCATTGCAACATTGTCATAGTAATCTTCTGTTTAAGTAGGATCTTCTAATGAGCCCCCACTGCTGCATTCCCTCCTTAGGTACACGAGGAATGACACCTGTTACGGTACTACTTATTCATGGAAAGCAGTGTAGTCTAGAGGTTACAGCCAATGAGTAAAAATCAGAGCTCCTAGCTTCTAATTCTGTCTCTTATAGGCTAGGTCTACACTACCCGCCTGAATTGGCGGGTAGAAATCGATCTCTCGGGGATCGAATTATCGCGTCTCGTTGGGACGCGACAATCGATCCCCGAATCGACGCTCTTACTCCACCAGCGGAGGTGGGAGTAAGCGCCGTCGATGGGGAGCCGCGGAGGTCGATTTTGCCGCCGTCCTCACAGCGGGGTAAGTCGGCTCTGATACGTCGAATTCAGCTACGCTATTCGCGTAGCTGAATTTGGGTATCTTAAATCGACCCCCCCCCGTAGTGAAGACCTGCCCATAGACTCGCTTCAGCATGACCTTCAGCATGTCACTGTACCTCCGTTTTCCAGATCTGCAAAATGAGGGCAAAAATACTGACCTAACTCACAGGAATACTGTGACACTTAATGTTTGAAAAGTGGTGGATGCCCTGATACCAGAGACATCCAAAACCAGACTAGAAGAATCTGTTTTGCATTGGGAAGGGGATGGGTTAGTCGACCTCGCAGATCTGTAGGGCTTCCCTTATGTTTGCCATAATGGATCAGACTAGAGCTGATTGAATAGTAAAAATAAAAATGAAACTTGTGACTGTTTTAGCAAAAAAAATTGCTGAGTTTGGTTTGCTGTGATTCATGGGGATTTACTATTCATTATTTGTGAGTATTCCAATGAGCATCAGGGAGTCATGAAAATGTTTGTGAATCTCTAAAATGTCCTGAATTTTATTACAAATGGTGATTCATCCAAAAACTTGTGTTGAAATTAGGATATTGCTTATCCACTGTCTATTATTGTCCTGTTAAAAAGTTTCAGGAACCAATCAGATAGTAGAAACTAAATCATCTGACTTATTTGCCAACCGCACTTTACATGAATTGTAAGCTGTTTGGGGCAGAGGACTTTTTGTTATGTGTATGTACGCTGCATAGCAACATGAGGCCCCCTAGCCTTGGTTGGCGCCTCTAAGGGCTACTTTAGCACAAAATAATAACTACCACATACAATGAATAGTGACTAACTCAAGTGAAGGGTTTGAACATCCCACAGCCTGAAAGTTATTCTGCCAAAGCATTCTGTGAACATTTATGGATAATGAATTTGCCTAGAGGAAATTAGGATCAGTCTTCAAATGAATGCTTAACTGCCCTAAAATGGGGCTAAATTTGGGATGAATATTATCTGTAAGGTCTATCTCATGGGTCACTTTAGTCTGGTGTCCTGCCTTTAGCAGTGGCCAAATATCTGATGACAATAAAAATACCCATAGTGCTCAGTTGGCCAATGAACTATACAAAGGGAAAATGTTCCTTCCTGAGCCGCTCAGGTGATCGGTTTCTGTCTTGAACCATGGAATTTGTTTACCTTTATATCTTAGGGTTCTGTTTTCTTCTCCTTATGCACAGAAGACATGAAATGCTTTTATGGAGAGGTAAAAGAGATCACTAATTAGTTTGAAGAGATACAACTGCTGTTTGTCTACAACTTGTCCCAGTGCCCCATGGTCCTGTGCAAATACATTAAATAGCCTTGGGCATAATTACCAAATCAAGATGGCAACATTATTTATAGAAGTTTGGTGCCTTTTCCCACCCTCCAGCAGAAAGAGGTTTTCCATAGAACAGGAAAGAGATAGCAGGGTCCTTGGTGTGGTTGTTATTTGACTTTGTATCCACCTGCCACATTCAGTGCTGAGGCTGTGGTATTTTTTCAGGAGGTGTTTTGCTGGACAGTTCCCCGATGTGGAGATCACAGCCCAGTTAACCTATCCATGTTGGCTTTGGTTGATATTAAAGGACTCCAGCAAGTCTCCTGGACCAGAATTCCCCAAAGTGGCATTAACCAATATCCCTGCCTTTGATTCTGTGCTTTCCCTCTTTTTTACTATGTACTGATCTCAAACTACAGAATGTTGTTGCAGTATCCAAATCAAAGACACATACTCTCTCTCTTCTTCCCGGGACTGGACTCAGAAACAAGAAACATAAATATGGTCTATTTTTTTAAAGGTAATCAACTGTGTGATGTTCCAGGGTTCGTCAGGAACATGTCTAGTTGCTGCCACGTCAACCTCCTGAGGTACTTCGTGATTCAATCGCCTAGAATCCAGGAACCTGGTGGCTGTTTTGTGATTGAGACACCTAGCCAGTAGGTAATGGACCAAAGCCACCAACTCATTTCATAGGTCACTGCAGTAGCCATTGACGGTGATGGCAACTTGTGATGGCTGCTGGAGGTGGTTGGAAAATTGTGAAAAAATTTAGTTTTCAGTTAAAAATGGGCAAAATTGTTCCCTCAATTTTTTAGCTAACTGGTGGGAAAGGTTAGGGGGAAAGGATGAAAAAAATGGAATAAAAATTTCCACATTTTGCCCTCCATTTCTTGGGACCAGATCTAGCTACTATGGAGCAGGGTTTGAACAGGTGATGCCAGGGTAAAAGGCTGCATAGCCCATTACTAATCCACTGAGACACCCATTCCCCAGCAAGCATAATTGTGTTTCTTCTTGGGGATTTATTTTGCTGTCACAGAAAGAAAAGTGAAATAATTCTATGAACTTAAAACAAATCTCCAACTTCTGAGCACAGTTGCTGTGCACTGTTAAACAGTGGTCATGTTCCACCTCAGCAGTGGCTGTAATTAAATAGTGGGTGAAGTATTTCTCATATATGTAAAATGTGTATATGTGTTGAATTTTTCTGGCTGATAGATGCTATATAAATGTATTTATTATTGTGCTTGCACCAAATTTGGTCTTCAATTTCCAATATGCCACCTGATCACATGGATGGTTCTAATGTTGGATAATTTTTAGGTGTGGAAGAGGTATGTCTACACAGCAATTAAACACCCGCGTCTGGCCCAGGTCAGCTGACTCGGGCTTATAGGTCTCAGGCTGCAGGGCTGTAAAATTGCTGTGTAGACCAGTGCTTCTCAAACCTGGTCCGTCGCTTGTTCAGGGAAAGCCCCTGGCGGTCCAGGCAGGTTTGTGTACCTGCCACGTCCACAGGTTCGGCCGATCATGGCTCCCACTGGCCGCGGTTCACCGCTTCAGGCCAATGGGGGCTGCGGGAAGCAGTGCAGGCCGAGGGACATGCTGGCCGCCCTTTGAGAAGCCCGACTTTGAGAAGCACTGGTGTAGACATTTGGGCTCAGGTTGGATCTCAAGCTCTGGGACCCCATGAAGGGAGAGAGTCCCAGACCCAGGCTCCAGCTGGAGCCCGAACATCTATACAACAATTTTTAGCCCCACGGCCCGAGCCCTGCAAGCCCAAATCAGCTGACCTGAGCCAGCTGCGGCCAGGCTGTGGGTCTTTTATTCCGGTGTAGACGTTCCCCGAATGTCTATCATTTCACTGCTGTGAACCTGGTCAGCATATTAGTCATATTTATCAGAGCCAGAAACTCAGTTCTGCTGGTGCTTGGTGGTGGTCATTAATGACCCTCAGAGTGTACAGGGAATGAGATTTTGGGCTTTCCCTTTTCTTCCAAAAACACAATTCAGGTGACAAAAGAAAACACAGAACTGCCTTGTATTTTCTCACCTGGTTTGGGTTTTCTACCCCATGACTGTGAATTCATTTGGGAATATCACTGTTCACTCCTTGGCTCATGTGATTGCTCTTTGCTTAAAGAATGTTACTGAAAAACATAAATGCTACCACTGATCTATGAAACTAATCTTCAAATAATAACCAGCTCTCCTCTGCAGCCAGGATTCCTTTCATCTATCAGAGAAAATGCAGCTCTTAAAAATACAAGTGTGTGTGTGCGTGAGAGAGAGGAGGGTTGAGGGTTATGTAGGAAAGTGGATTTTGTTTTTGTTTTTGGTAGCTTACTTAGTTCAAGTTTTTTACTTGCTGGACTGGCAGTAGCAAGCCTAGTGATCCAGGAGTACTGTCCAACTTGGTTACCTAGACGCAGAACCAGAGAATGTGCCGATGTGGCTACTTTTGTGTGTACCCGAAAAGGTCAGATGTATATGGACAATGCTTTACAAAAAGCATTTGGGTCACTGTGCAAAGACCAATAACGCAGGATTAACGTCCAGGGAGCTACTACAAACAGCTGATCACAAGCTCTTCCAAGCCCTGTCTGTACACTTTCTGAGCAACAGTGAATTTAATGCGAGGGATCAAAATAGGAGGCAAAGAATTCAAGCCAGAATGACATCCCTCATTTCAAACGATGTCCTTTTGTTTCAGCTTCTGTTCTATGTCAATGATGGAAGTGATTGCTCCTTCCTTTGTGTGGGTCTATAAGGAAATACATGCTTTGGAGCAGGGGAGAGCCGGAGAAAATATTATGGACAGGCTGTTAATTAGAACAAAAATCCTGGATTTAGGAAGTTTTAGGCACACATCTGAATTTTCTGTCTGGCCCTTATCTCTTCACTGGGTTGAACCAAACCACTAGCCTGAACCCTGGAAATTTGAAGCCAGATCAGAACTCTGTGGCTAGGGCCTAACTCTAGTATTCATATTAATGGGAGTTTCATCTCCCCTGGCTTGGCACAGCAATAGGTTGCAGCAGTGAGTTTTAAAGGCACGCGTCCCATTTTGTCCAGTGCGGTTTTCAAAGTGGATCTGTTACATTCATATATTTAGTCATGTTATGGGGCATGTGTCTATGCTTAATATCTGCAGTGAGTTTTAATCCTACTTTGTACCTCTGCATTGTCACTGTCTGGCTAATCAGTACGAGCGAGCATCCTGCTTTAAAAGCAGGGACACCCTGAGCAAGTTGGGAAAGTCTTTTC